AGACCTTGACCCATCTCCTGGGCTGTCCCTTCAGCTGTATTTAGGGCTCCAGAGGACTCTTCTGCCATGAGCACAGCGAGGGATGGAGTCAGAAGGGGGTTTTGCCTCTGCTGAGCAGAACTGAGGCCCAGCACATGTAACCCTCAGAACCAAGCAGAGGGGATTCCTTCTGCTCCAGAGAGTCCCCAGGAGGGTGTCACCCAGCCCTCTGGATGTAATGCTCCAGGGTGGGTATTCCTGCTAAATCTGGAGAAGCTGAGAGCAATCCTATGTTTCGTGTGTGTTCTCAGGCAGACAGCATGGACAGCCTCAGGGGTGAGTGGTATCAGGAGTGGCAGACTGGGGAGCCAGTTACCCCCAGGGGGCTGTGTCAAGGAGAGGGACTTTGGGGCACCATGGGACACCAAGATGGATGGGTTAATGACGGGGAGAGGGGTGCCATCAAGTGCCCCTTGGGTTGGCTGGCAGAGGCTTAGGCTATCAGAGGGGGTGGGAGGAACCTGCTATTGCAGCTGGAGATTAAATGCATTTCCCTGCCTTCCCATCCTCTTCTGTTCTCCAGATCTCCGCCTGCAGCTGCTGGATGTGAAGAACAACCCCTACCTGATCAAGGCTCTCTATGGCCTGCTGATGCTGCTGCCCCAGAGCAGCGCCTTCCAGCTCCTCTCCCATCGCCTCCAGTGCGTGCCCAACCCAGAGCTCATGCAGACCACGTAAGTGCTGGGGGGATGGACCAGCATCAGCATCGGGGCTGGATCAGCTGTTCCCCACAGCTGAGCATCCCTGCCATTCCAGGCTCAGCCCCCATCCCGGGCTCAGCCCCATGCTCTGGCTTTCACCCCCCAGCTCCACTGCGGCCGTGGCTGCTCCTTGTCCCCACGGCCGGGAGTGTTGGCCAGGGGGGTTTTTTGTGTCTATATTTGGTAACCCTGGGAGGGCTGTGCCTCATCCACAGGCATTTGGCATCCGGGATGGAAAATTTCACTTGTGGGGTCGCTATGGAAACGAGCAGAGCTGGGAAGGAGGTTTATGGAGAAAGACTCCAGCAGCTGGGGGGGGGGCTCCCAAAGCATCCCCCCTGCAGCCTGGACAGCCTTCACAGCACCCAAAAGGGGCCTGGCACCCTGCTAATGCCTCCGGATGGCTGCTCCATTCCCACTCCTGGCCTTAGGGGATGCGTGAGATGTGCAAGGGTGGCATCTCCCTGGGGACCAGCTGAGATCCTCATGCTCCCTGCCCAGGGGTGCTGCCAGTGGGATTTGCTTTCCAACCCTTAGCTAATGAGTAGTGGGGGGGCTTGATGATAAAGCTGGCTCTGCCTTGGCGCAGCCCTGGGAACAAAAAGAGCTCCCAAGATGGGCAGGTTTCTGAATTAACCCCCTGCTGCTGTTGTCGCTCCTTGGCTTTTAACTGCTTCCCTGGGATGGCTTTTATCCCTCATGGCCTCCGGCACTGAGCTCCTACCCACAACCCAGCACTGATATTTAATTGGGGGGGCGGAGAGGGGGCTGCATGTGCTTCCCCCTCCTTTTTTCTCCCCACTAACCCTGGCAGTGGGGGTTTTTCGAGCTGTCAGACAGCCTGAGCATCTGATTAACTCTGACCTACATTCCTTCAAACACCGAAGCCGGCTTTCATAACCGGCCAGTCCCAGCTGCCCCCTCCCCAGGGACATACCAGGGCCACCAGAGCTGCCTGCCATCTTCCCATGGGCATCCTGTGGCTGGTGTCTGCTCCTTCCTTGCATGAGGACAGCACAGGGATGAGTATCCATGGCTGGAACCCTAGGGAGCTTGCATTTGGAGCCATGGGTGCTCATCCCTGAGGACTGTCCCTGCTGCCACTGGATGTTTTTTGCTTGCTTAAAGAAGCAGACATGGAAACTGAGGCATCCTTATCTCACTGGTTTTGACTGCAGTGGGTTGGGATAGAGAGGAGTATGTGTCAAAGGAATTAAACCTCCCATGTGGGACCAAGATGCAGATGTCCCTTGTCCCCTCCTTGTCCCAGGACCTCTTGGGCTCTATATCTCTTACCTTTAGAGGAAGAAAATATATCTTTGGGGGTATTTTATGAGGCACCAACATGACTAGGATTTGCTGAGCTCAGCTGCTTCAGGACAAGCTTTTGGTGCTGCCAGTGCTGAATGCTCACAGCACCAAACATCCCCATCCCCTTCGCACCCTCTCTCTTCCCACCCTGCAGGGACAACGCCAAGCCCAGCACCAGTTTCAAGAGAACAGCAGCCTCCAACATCGACTACACAGAGCTGCTGCAGCACTTTGAGAAGGTCCAAAACAAGCACCTGGAAGCAAGACACCAGCGAGCCGGGCGGGCAGAGCAGCTGGACCGGCGGGTGGTTCTCTGAGCACCCCGGCGGCCACCGCGGGTGTGCACAGCTGCTGGGGCAGGGACCAGGGGACACAGACCAGGGGACACAGACCAGGGAACAGGCACACCGGTTGCTGGCCACCGGAGGATCTGGTGGGTTTAATGGAGATGGGCGAGAGCTCAACACAGGGCTGGTTTTCCCCCCCACTGAGGGGGGACCCTCAGGCTGTGCCCAGCTTTTCCTGTGGGTGCTGGGGGGACATGGGGAAGGGTTGCCTGAGGAGAAGGCCGGGGTAAAGCACCTCATCTTCCCTTGCAGTGGGGCAAGGGAACTCCCCTTTGCTTTGCTAATGCCTTCCCCGTGACTGTCAGCTGAGCACCCAGCCTGCTGCCAGCAGCACCGGAGGAGGGGAAGGGAAAACGGGAGCAACCCCTGGCCTTGCGCCCTGGAAAACAAGCACCGGGGCCGCCAGCCACCTCTCACCACCCTGACTTCCACCCTCTGGTTCCGAGGCCCTGCTGGAGGTGGCATCTCACTCGGGGAGACACTCCTGTGCCTGACATTTGGCCCCCTCCCTGCATTCACACATCCTCTCTGAGTCCCCAGCTCTTGGCAGGGACAACTGCACAGCTTCAACTCCCAGCTAGCACCAGGGGACATGGGGAGTAGTGGACCTAACCCCAGACTCTATTCCTTGTTCCTTCATTAAGTTCCCCATGATAAAATAAACAAGCAATGCAGAACAGCCCATTCCTTGTTGCTGGGCTTCCCATCTTAGTTTTGTTCCCAAGTGGAGCCAAAAACACAGCAAGGGCAGGGGATGGCATGGAGCGTCTTGCTTGACCCTGTGCCCTGGGCTGGCCCAGCCCTGCCACGTTGGCTTGCCAGCAAGCAGAACTTCTCCGCCTGCTCTTCTTCCAGCAGTAAAAAAACGCCACTGAAATTCTTCCAGGCCACGGTCACGAAACCACAGCACAGTGACAGGCATTTTCCTGGCCCTGAGCAGCCGCCGGTGTTGCCTTCATCCTGTCCTGTGGTAACGGGGGACCCCAGCACGTGCCAGGCTGCTGCAGTCTGGGGGGACACCATTGCATCCCCTGCATGTTTCAGGCCCTCACTTGATCCCAGGAAAAGGGTGGTTGGAGGAATTTGTGGAGTTTTTATGGCTTCTGGCCTGTTTACAGGGAGGACTGTCTCTGGCAGTGGGTTCCCCAAACAGCCCCATACCGGCGCTGCTTTGGCCAGGATAAAGACATTCCTGTCATTCCCGGGGAAGGGCTTTCCAGACCCAGTCACGGCGGGTTAATTTTAACAGCCAGCCCTCAAGGATGTGTGAGCAGTGGCTTCTCAAGCCAGCCGGTGTCTCAGGGTGCTGGGGGGTACCTGTTGCTGGACCCCTGGGTCATTACCAGGGTGGGCTCTGTGTCCCTCCTGCCGAGCTCATTGCTGCTGAGCAGCCTCTTTCCACACTGAGGGACTGGGTTTATGGAGAGAAATTCCAGCCGGCTGCTGGAGTGCTGAGCCCTAATTGTTTCCTTATGGGTGGCTCTTGACCAACACCATCCAGAGCAGTGTGGGCATCATCAGCATGGGATCAAGACTACTTTTCTGGCAGGAGGGGGAATAGGTGACTCAGGCTGAAACCCTCGCCCCAGCTGAGCGTCATTGCACTATGAGGGGTAGGAAGGTTTGTCGGGTTCAGCCTGGCACCCCCACATCCCGGGAGGCTGGAGCTGGGGCCTCGGGATGCTTGTGGGAAGCGTTTGTCTGCTGGCAGGCCATGCATTTCCCATGGCTCCCTGATAATGGAGTGCACGGACACATTTCAGAGCTGTCCTGTAACTACTGCAGAGGGAGTTCACCCTCCAGCACATCTTGGAGGGTCAGGAAGGCAATGGGGGTCAAACACCTTTTGGGGAGAGGCAAATCCCCCCACCCCCCCGGTGCCTCCAGAGATCTGGGAATGCCTCTGGGCATCCCATGGCATCTCCAAGTGCAGTGTCTTTACATACTCCCTGGGGCTCTCCTGCTCCTCACCCAGCCCCCCAAAATAATCCCTGGGTGTTCCTACACCGCCATGGGAGCAAACCCCGATGCTGCCTCCACCAGTGCCACATCTCCAGGCATCCCTCGGGTCTCCCTCCGCTGTAGTCCCGGGGCACGCGGTGTTGCTCCCCGGCTCCCCCCCCCGCTCAAGAGCATCCCCGAGAACCACCGGGGCTGCCCCTCCCTGGCTCCGTCATCCCTGCGCGTCCTCCGGGTATCCCGCAGCGGCTCCCGGAGCATCCCTGGAGCTGACCCCGATCCTCCCCCCGCCCCGCAGCCCCCGGCCCCGCGGCGGGCGGCGCATGTGCCGCGCAGCGCCCGCCCCGCCCCGCCCCCGCCACCGCCCCGGGCCGGAGCTCCCCGCGCCCCGCTCCGCTCCGCGCCCCGCTCCGCTGCCAGGGGGCGGCGGGTCCGTGCAGCACCCGCGGAGGGCGAGGGAGGGAGGGAGGCAGGCAGGGGGCGATGCCCCGCCCGGCTCCGCCGCCGCTCCGCCGCTGTGCCCCCCCCGCCGCTGCCGCCGCCGCCGCCCGGGCGCCGCCCGCCCCCCGCCGCCGCTGAGCCTGGCCCGCCGCCGCGGCCTCCCCCGGCGGCGCCGCCCGCCCCGGGCTGCCGCAGCGCCGCGATGGAGACGGCGGAGAAGGAGTGCGGAGCCCTTGGCGGCCTCTTCCAAGCCATCATCAACGACATGAAGGTAGGGGATCCCCCCCCCCCGCGCCCCGGTTTTGCTGCCGTGACAGCGCTCCCCCCGCACCATCCCCCCATCGCCCGGCTTCCCCAGGCAGCCCCGCGCTGCCGCCGCCGGTGCCCGTCCCGCGGTGGGTAGCGAGGCTCTGCTGCCCAGCCGCGAGATGGGGATTGGAACCCCGCATCGGGTATGGCAGCCCGAACATCAGCCCCACAGCGAGTGTCGGGGTCCCACATCTGCTGTCAGAGCCCGGCACGGGTTCCCAGAGCCCCACATCAGCCCCTTACTGGGCATCGGAGCTCTGTGTTGGGCTTCGGAGCCCTGGAGATCGCAGCCCCCCATCATCTCTATATCCAGCGTTGGAGATTGGAGCTCCATCCTGGGGATTGCAGCCCCACATGATCCCCAGATCCATCACTGGCTATCGGAGCCCCGTTCTGGGTGTTGCAGCCCTATATCTGCCCTGTTATCCTTCACTGGGTATCAGAGCACCATGTCGGGCATCAAGGTCTCACACTGGGTGTCAGAGCGTGGCACTGGGTACCAGAGCCCTGCATCAACCCCATAATATTCATCGGGGCCCTGTATTGGGCATTGGAGCCCATCCTGGGGATCCTGGCTCCATATCAGCCCTGTACCCATCCTCGGGTGCCTGAGCCCCTTGTCGGGTGACACAGACAGGCATCACTGCCCCTCGCCAGGTACCACTGGCCCCACACCGGGCATTGCCACCCGCTTCAGGCATCATGTTGTCCCTGTCCCCCCTGCTCCATGCCCAGCCTGGATTTCTCTCAGACCCAGTGGGGTTGACACCAGTGGAACAAAAAGGTCCCCTAGCTCCTTGATCCCATTTCCTAACCCGGGAAGAGGATATTGCCTCCACCCTCCCTGGGAGCAGGATGGGGCCATGTTTAAAAAAACCTTTTTGTTTGTTTGTTTTCATTTCAAAAAATACATTAAAAATGCTGGGGGACATTTCTGAGCAGGGGCTGAGTGGGGAGGAGGGGACCAGCCATGTTTCTTCATCTCGGGGGACCAAAATTCCCACAGCCGGCTCCAGCACTGGGGTTTAGCCCTAGTCATTTTTGGGAGGCAAATGCTCTCTTCCTCCTCCTCCTCCTCCTCCTCCTCTTCCTCTCTTCATGCTGCAGACCCGTCCAGACAATGCTGTCATTGCCAAAGCAGGGGAGGGGGGGATAAAAAAAAAAAATAAAAGCCTTGCTGGGAAGGAGATTAACCCCTTCGAGGGGCAGTGGTGGCTCTGCAGCCGGACTCTGGCTCAGGGCTGGGAGAAAAGCTCCAGGGAGAAAATCCCAACTCTCCCCAGGGCAGAGGGATCCAGGGCTGGTGCAAAACGGGTGCTGGGGTGTTCAGCTCCCTCTCCCAAACGCCTTCACCCCAGCCACCCTCTCCAGGCAGCCTGGCTGAGTCCCACACTCCCAGTGGGGCAGCCCCTGCCTCAGTTTCCCCATTCCCCTGCTGAGGCTTCAGAGGGGATAAGCCAGCCCAGAGCTGTGCCAGGGATGTGCCCAGCACCATCCGGATGTGGTGGGGCTGGGAACCCCTCACTCGGGGAGACTGGGCTGGAGTCAATTTCATGCCATTTGAAGGTAGGAAAGATTAAAGAAAAATCATGAAAAAGGAGGAAAACCCCACCACACTACAGCTGGGCCTCAGCCTGTGCCCTGCACAGCCCCAGCCTAGTGCCAGTGGCACCTGAGGGTGTGCTGTCCCCATCTCCCAGCCATGTGGGTGTCCTGGCACAGGCACTGGGGGACGAGTGCTTGAAGAACTGCTGGCATTGAAGGGCAGTGATGTGCTTATGGTCCTATGGCTGGGACCCCTGTGCTGGTCACAGGGCAAGGGGACCTTATTTTGGTGGTGGGTGGCCATTTCAGCACCCCTTGGCCTGTGCTGGGGAGAATTTGTTTGTTGGTGACAGTCCCTAAGCTGGCTTCATTCCTGTTGCCTCTCCTTGTGTGCTCAGTGTCCCTGAGTGACCTTGACATGTCCTTGTGCCCATTGTCCTCTTCCCCATCCTCCTCATTCCTGGCATCACAGGGGTTTGGGGGCATCTCAGTCTGCTCCCTTCTATGGGGGAGCCTCAGTTGCCCTGCCCAGGGTGACCAAGGAAGGTGGCCCGGAGCCAGTGGCCCAGGAATGGTGGCCCAGCCCTCTGGCAATGACAGTCCCTGGGGACCCACAACCAGGGGGTTACTGCCACAAGTGAGTGATGTGTCAAGTGGCACCCTCAAACCCTTTCTTTGCTGGCTCATGAGGAAATAGGGGCTTTCATGGTCCCAAAAAATGCTGGGCTGGTCTCATGCTGCCTCAGTGCAAACCTTGTTCCCAAGCTGCCACCAAGCCATAGTGCCCATGTGGATGTGTGGCAATGTACATGTCCCAGCCTGGTGGCTGCCCTAGGGGAGTTTACAGATGCCTGTCACTGCCATCGGATGGTGACACCAGGATAGCACCGAGATTCTGTCACTGGGACAACAGGACCAGGACTGACCTTGCTAGGAGAGCAGCACCACCAGCATGGCTTCACCAGGATGATGAACCAGGAGTGGCCCTACTGGAATGGCTTTGCTGGGATAATAGCACTGGGACCAGCTTCACTGGAACAGCCCTGGAATGGCCTTGCCAGGATTGTGGCACCTGAGTAGCTTCACTGGAATGATGGCACCGGTACTGGCCATGCAAGGGTGACACTGGGATGGCCTTGTCAAGACAGCACCAGGATTAATCTCACCAGGACAACATGGACTGGCCTTGCTGGGATGGTGACACTGGGATGACCTGGCTGTATGGTGGATCAGGATCAGCCTTGTTGTGATGGCACCAGGATGGCCTTGCTGGGATGGCGCTGCAGCTGGCATTACTGGGACAGTCCTCACTGGAATGGCAGCAGCATGGTCTGCTGGGACTGGCTTCACTGGGACTGCGCTGAGAGAGACTTGTTGAAACAGTGGCACTGGGATGTCCTCACTGGGATGGTGGCACTGGGACTGCCCTGGGATGACTCCCCTGGAACGAATGGTTGCACCAGGACAGCCCTGAACAGCCTCGCCACAAGGGCACTGGGAATGGTCTTGCACAGATGGCCTTGCCAGGATGGCACCAGAGTGGCCTCATTGGCACAGCACTGGGCTGGCCCCCCAAGCACCTGTGCCCTGTCCCTGTCCCCACACAACTGCCCAATTCAGGGTTCTGGGGACCCCGACCTCCCCTCCTGCCCTGCTGGTCCTTGGGCTCAGGGGAGGTGAGGACTGGGGCTCCTGTCTGTGGGACTGGAGCTCTCCATGATGGTGGGTTTGGCCATCAGTGTTTTGGGGGGAAGCTGCTGCTGGGGGTCTCCTCTACTGCTGGCCAGAGTCTTAAAGATTTTTCATTTCATGCCCTCAATGAGGAAGAAATCACTCAAAATCCTGAGGTCTCCATGGTTTAGAGGTTTGGGTGGCCAGACTGGAAAGGGAAAAACATCAGGAGGAAAAAGAGTTGTGCTCAGCCTTTATTAGCCATCAGAGAAGTTATTGAGCTGCCCTCTCTGCGCCAGTGCAGGAGGGACCTGCCCTGACTGGGGAAGCAGTGCAGGGGTTGAGGGTCCCTGTCTCTCACCATCACCCTTCCTCCTTGCAGAGCTCCTACCCCATATGGGAGGATTTCAACTCGAAGGCCACCAAGCTGCACTCCCAGCTCAGGTGAGTGGCTAAAGGGGGGGTGGGACATGGGGGATCCCCGTCCTCGTTGGCACATCCCAGGTGTCCCAGAGCCACTGAGCTCCCCCTCGCTCTCTCTGCCTCAGGACCACGGTGCTGGCCGCAGTTGCCTTCCTGGATGCCTTCCAGAAAGTGGCCGACATGGCCACCAACACCCGAGGTAGGGGCCTCTCTCCTAGGGGTGGGCGTCCCCAGGCTTGTCTGGGCAGGGGCACAGGTGGTGAGTGTCCCCTGTGGGGTGTGCCCTGCCCACATTTCTGGGGTGGACTTCAAGCAGCAGCTTCACCACCCACAGAGAGATATCCAGCCTGTTCCCACACCAAGGTGGAGCATTCCCTGGGAAGCAGCACTGGAAGGATGGAGTGGGGAGGGGGAAGGAGGTGAGCACCCATGTGGGTGCTGCTTCTCACCACCCATGGGTGCTTAGCCACATTTTCTGGTGGGGCTGGGACATTCAGGGTGGCTCAGCCCCACATCAGGGTCTCCTGCACCCATCTCTGCCCCCCGGGATGCAGAATCCACCTTCCTTGTCCCTGGCACACATCTGGGGAGTTCCCAGGGGGGTCCTGGCTGCTCTGGGGTCTCCAGGGAAGGGGAATTAGCTAGAGGGAGATTCAGGAGTCCGAGCTTCACTGTTCTGGGGACAAACCCTAACTCACCAGGGAGGTGACTGAAGAGCCAAGGCTGTATGTGGGGTCCCCCATACTGTTGGGGAGTGAGGGGGAAGGATCCCCGGACCCTCTCCAGGTGCCTGCTGGCAGTGAGGAGCCACTTCCCACTGCCTGGCTTCTGCCAAGCAGATGGTCCCGGGCTGGTTTGCAGACTGGCGGCATCCAGGCCATCTGGAGCCACGCGAGGAGGAGGAGGAGGAGGAGGAGGAGGTGGAGGCAGCAGCTTGAGCCAGGATCAGCTTTGCCTCCAAACCCACTAGCCCACTGCACCAGGGGGATTAGGGCTCCTCCAGCTCCCTGTCAGCCCAGGCAGTCAAAGCAAGGAGGAGGCACAGAAGCAGTGCTGGGGACAGCTGGGGACCAGCACCACAGGAGTCAGTGTCACCCTGTAGTGCTGCTGTACCTGCAGGGCTTTTTGGAGGGTGGGCAGCAGAGCAGCAGCGTGGGGAAACTGAGGCACTAGGTGGGGGCTGGCTGCTGGCCTTGCATGCAGTGCATGAGAATCGGATTAGAAGCAGCAGGAGCTGGGATAAGAGCATTAGGAGCTGGATTAGGAGACTACCCCAGTGTAGGAAAAGGCCCATGGGTTCCCCTATTTCCATAGCACTGGGAGACTGAGGGACATCCAAAACTCCTACAAAGGGGTGGGAGGTTTCTTTGGAGGCTTTTTTAGGGGAGAGAAAGGCTGAATGTCACTCCTTAGTTTGCACCCAAGGATTTTTTATTTCCGTTTTCTGTGGGAATCGCCAGCAGCACTGCCACCATGTGGCCATCCTTAGGCTTCAGCGGTTTCACCTAAAAAGGATGCTCCTGCTATCTGCTGCTGGCAAATATCCCCCCCCCGGGAGTTTAGACTCCCTTTTTATCCGCTGGTGATTGTGCCTGAAGGTGTGGGACAGAGCTGACTGCCTGGAACTAAGCCAAGGTACCTCATCACCTCCCTTCCCTGGGCCCCTAGCGCCAAATTTAAGACAAACTGGGAAAAAATGGGAGCAGGTTCTAATTTCAAAGCCTCCAGAAGATGTATTTAGTGTTTCATGTATTAGTTAGTGGATGATTATTTATTTATTTTGTGGATTTATCGTGGGAAAAAACAAGCCACCCCCTGCCTAAAGTGCATCCCAGTGCTGATGGTCCCTGTCACGACCCACCCTGTTCCCACCATACAAACTGGGCTGGGACTGGTGTGGGGGTGTCCCTGCCCCTCGTCAGCAGCACTTTGCTCCCCCCAGGTGCCACGAGGGACATCGGCTCAGCGCTGACCCGGATGTGCATGCGGCACCGCAGCATCGAGGCCAAGCTCCGGCAATTCACCAAGTAAGCAGCACCAGGATCAGCTCCAAACCCACGGCGTTGGTGACACGGCCTGGCTAGGCTCATTCCCTCCCTAAGGAGGGGATGCTGGGTGCTGGCTGGGCATGGGTGGGGAATGGCTCCGCCGTGGCTCCAGCACTCTCCTACACTCTGCTTCTCTCTCCCTGCTCCAGTGCCCTCATGGAGAGCCTGATAAACCCTTTGCAGGACAGGATTGAGGACTGGAAGAAAACTGCCAATCAGCTGGACAAGGACCATGCGAAAGGTACAAAGGGGACAGGATGGATCCGTGGTGCAGGGTGGCTGCTGGACAGGGGTCCCCTCTGACAGCACTTCTGCACCCCCAGAGTACAAGCGAGCACGCCATGAGATCAAGAAAAAGTCCTCTGACACCCTCAAGCTCCAGAAAAAGGCTCGCAAAGGTGAGAGGGGGTCTCCTGGGGGTTGCCCCCACCAGCCCCTCCGCAGCACCCCCAGCCAGGGCCGGTATCCCGGCTGTGGCACTGCCAACCGGGGGGTGGGCACTAGGGGGGTCCTGCTGCCTCCCTGTAGAAAGGGAGGTGCCAGCACGGCCCGGGGGTGGTGGGGAGGCGGGGCATGCGCCCCAGCCTTCGGCCTCTTTTCACACGTTTTCTCTGTCTCCTTCTCTCTTCCCTCCCCTCCACATCCTTCCTGTAGAGCTACTTGGTAAGTGAACCGCTGCCCCCCACCACCGGCCCCCTCTCTGCTTCCTCATCTACTCCCCCCAGTCTCCCCAGCCTCTGTCTGTCTGTCCGTCCGTCCATCCACTCCCAGTTCCCACCCTCACCTTGCTTTTAGCTTAGCTTAGCCTGCACCCCATATCCTGAGGCAATGCCAGACTCACCATGTAGCAGCCCAAGGGGTCCTCTGGTCCCAAGTGCCAGGGATGGGGATGGAGTGGCAGAGAAGCCCCCTGCCCAGGTCTGTTGTGGGGTGAGGGTGCTCCTGGACCTTCCAGGGAGATGGGCAGAGTGGGAGACCTATGGTATGTGCTGGAATGTGAAGATGGGGTGCTGTCCTCAAGCGGGGGGAATGGCCTCGGCTTGGCAGTGGCACCGCCAGCAGCCTGGGGAGGGTGGCAGGGGAGCCCAGGGCTGACAGTGCCCCATCTCTCAGGGAAGGGGGACCTGCAGCCCCAGCTGGACAACGCGCTGCAGGACGTCAATGACATGTACCTGCTGCTGGAGGAGACGGAGAAGCAGGCGGTCCGCAAAGCCCTCATCGAGGAGCGGGGCCGCTTCTGCACCTTCATCACCTTCCTGCAGCCTGTGGTGGTGAGTGCTGGGGGCCGGGAGGGTCAAGGGTTGTTCCTTCTGCCCAGTGGATGCTGATGCTCTCTCTTGTCTGTCCTCAGAACGGGGAGCTCACTATGCTGGGAGAGATCACCCACCTGCAGGGCATCATCGAGGACCTGGTGGTGCTCACCGCTGAGCCCCACAAGTTGCCCCCCGCCAGTGAGCAGGTCAGTAGGGGCAAGTCAGGGGAGCAGGGAGGCATCTTTAGGGGGGACTTAAAACCCCATCTTTCCTGCAGGTGATCAAGGACCTGAAGGGCTCTGACTACAGCTGGTCCTACCAGACGCCCCCATCCTCACCCAGCAGCTCCAGCTCCCGCAAGTCCAGCATGTGCAGGTATGGTGAGGTGGGCTCCACACCCAACCACAGCCAGGAAATCCAACCCTCTTCGTTAACCTCAGTGGGTCTTCATTAACCTCAGTGGGTTAATGATGCTTACGGCTTTTGAGGATGCTCACAAGGTGCATGTCCACCTTCTCATGTCCATATGGGCAGGTGGCTCCCACTAATATGGAGGAATTGGTCTTGGTGCACTGGGTAGGGCTGGTGGACCTATGGGGCAGGATGGGGGCCGGACACATGCCCTGTCCACCAGGGTCTGGGGACATGTGTGCCGTGCATGGGTGTTTGGGGACAAGCATACCACCTCTGTCATGTCCCCCAGCCTGTTCCCTGCCGCAGGGCCACCCCAGGAGGCAAAGGGACACCCCCAGGAGGACTACATGCCTCAGTTTCCCCAGGTTGGGATGTGTGGCAGGGCGCTGGCCATCCTGCCACCTCCGAACCTCTGTCTTAAATTCTCTTTTCCTTCCTTTGTCCTTCCCACCGGCGTGTCCCCGTCCCCCTGGCGCCCCCCCAGCAGCGTTAGCAGTGCCAAGGGTGGCATGGCGTGGCCCGGCGGGGCTCAGACCTGCTCACCCAGTTCCACCTATCGCTACCGCAGCCTGGCGCAGCCCCCCGCTGCCACCACCCGCCTCTCCAGCGTCTCCTCCCACGACTCCGGCTTCATCTCCCAGGACGCTGCTTATTCCAAACCACCTTCCCCCATGCCCTCGGACATCACCAGCCAGGTACAGGGAGGGTGGTCCGTGCTGCCAAACCTCCATGCCTCAGTTTCCTCTTCCATAGAATGGGTGGGTGGTGCTGGGCGCAGCACAAGGGTCCGGTGGAGAGGTGATGAGACCCACCCTCAGAACTATTTCCATCTGTGTTGGCATCAAGGGGAATAAATATTGGGAATATTGAGGGTGCCTGCCGTAGTTGTGGGCATCCTGGGCCACATGGCAGAGAAACCCTATCAGGGAATTCCCCCAGGGCTGAGGCACAGAGATCCCTCTCCCCGTGCCAGGAGAACAGGGTGTTTCCCAATCACCACAGCCCCATAATACCCAATTTGTGCCACCCACCAGACAGCATGGAGCAAAGCTTCCCCTTCATGCTGCACCATCCCCAGTGCCAAGGATGCTCCAGGATCCCCAGGGAGTTGCCATTCCTACCTGTCCATGCTAACCTGCCATCACCAACCCAGTAACCCAAAATACCTCTTGGCTCTGCATGGCTTGGGGTGAGAGGGGGCAGGGTTGGGGCAGTGCATCATCTCAGTTCTTGACCCCACTGCCAAGGTCGCATCTTGCTCGCCATCCTGCAGCTACTGCCAGAGGGGAGGAGGGCTGGGGGCCTTGCTCAGCCAGGGAGCTGTGGGTGCTGCTCTAACCGGGGTCATGGCTCTGGCTTTGCTTGCTAACTGCCTCTTCTCTCACCTTCCGGCTCTCGGCTCGTCACGGCACAGCAGAAGTCCTCCAGCTCGGCGTCCTCAGAGGCATCCGAAACCTGCCAGTCAGTTAGCGAGTGCAGCTCCCCCACCTCGGTTAGTCCTTGCCATCCCACCAGGGTTGCGTTTCACACGTGATTCCCCCCTCACTTCATGGGGTTCAGCCCCCGGACCCTCCCCTCCCCTCCTGCATGGGGCAGAGCATCCTGAGCAGCACCCGTGGCTTGACATGGGGGACATCAGCTTGAGACCTCTCCTGCCACACTCCTGCTCCCAGTGTCACCAGCATGAACCGCATGCCTTGCCCGTTGCAGGACTGGTCCAAGGCCAGCCCCTATGACCAGCCGGTGGTCCCTACCCTGCAGCGGCGCAAGGACCGCGTGGAGCACCTGCGGGAGGCCGAGATGGGCTCTCCTGCCGGGGGGTACCCGGGCATCGGTGCCGAGGATGCTCCCAGGCCCCGGATGTCGCCGGCTACAATTGCTGCCAAGGTACCAGCTGTGGCAGGGAGGGCACAGAGGTGGGGGGCTCCTGGGGACTCCCAGAGGAGGAACCAGGGTGCTGACAGTGCCCTTTGCCCCAGCAGCATGGGGAGGAGGTGTCCCCTGCCGCCAGCGACCTGGCCATGGTCTTGACCCGTGGGCTGAGCTTGGAGCACCAGAAGAGCAGCCGGGACTCGCTGCAGTACTCCAGTGGCTACAGCACGCAGACCACCACCCCCTCCTGCTCTGAGGACACCATCCCTTCCCAAGGTACTGGCACCAGGGGTACCTGGGACCACCTGAAATGGCACTTAGAGTGGGGAAGGGCACAACAGAGGTTTTGGTGGTGCTGGGGCACAAATGTGTGTGCTGGGTGTCATAGCACTGGGCTATGAATTTGGTTGTTGTTGTGCTGTGATGGAAGTGGCTGGGGCTGGATTTAATGACATGGTTGAGCTTGGATACCACTGTCCCCCCAGCCACACTGATGGTGCTGCTCCCTCCCCAGGCTCCGACTACGACTGCTACTCGGTGAACGGTGACGTGGAGTGTGACCCGCAGAGCGATTTCGACAAGTCCTCCACCATCCCACGCAACAGCAACATCGCCCAGAACTACCGGCGGATGATCCAGACCAAGCGTCCCGCCTCCACCGCCGGGCTGCCCAGTGGCACCAACCTCCCAGCCGGCACCACCCCGGGGGTGGCCACCATCCGCCGCACGCCCTCCACCAAGCCCTCAGTCCGCCGTACGCTCTCCAACGCCGGCCCCATCCCTATCCGACCCCCCATCGTCCCCGTGAAGACCCCCACAGTGCCGGACTCCCCTGGCTACGCCGGCCCTACGCGGGTGGGCAGCGAAGAGTGCGTCTTCTATGCCGACGACGCCTCTCCGAACCCCCTGGATTTTGCCAAAGCTTCGCCCAAGAGGCTGAGCCTTCCCAACACCGCCTGGGGTGGCGGTGCCATGGAGATCTCTGTCTACCCCGGGGCCAGCCAGCACCTCTCCGCTGAGGAAGAGGAGGACCAACAGTTGGCTGCCAACCGGCACAGTTTGGTGGAGAAGATTGGGGAGCTGGTGGCCGGCGCCCACGCCCTGGGGGAAGGCCAGTTCCCCTTCCCCACTGCCCTCGTGGGGTCCGGCCCCGGCGAGGAGACCCCCGCGCCGCCCCCCGCGGCCTCCATGGACCCCCCGGCCGAAGACATGCTGGTGGCCATCCGGCGCGGGGTGCGGCTGCGCAGGACCGTCACCAACGACAGGTCGGCCCCGCGGATATCGTGATGCTGCCCCGGCCAGGGGGACGTGCCCGATGGACCCCGGGGGCAGCCACTGCCCCTCCCCAGGGACCCCCACCCGCCAGCACCCGCTGCCCTGTCCCTCTCTGCTGCCCCCTGCTTCCTGCCCCTCTGTCTCCTCCTGCCCTGCCCTCTCCTTACATCCCTCCTTCACTTGCTCTCTCTTTGGTCCTCTTTCTCCTCTTTTTCTCCTTTTCTCCTCTTCTTTTTCCTGGTTTTTCTGCTTTTTTCTTTTGCCTTTTTTCTTTTGTTCTTCTATGTCACTTTTCCTTCTGTTTTCTTATTTTCTTCGTTTTCCCATTTTTCTCCTTTTCCTCTTCTTGTCCTCTTTTTCTTTTCCTTTCTTTTCAACTCTTATTTTTTCCTTTCTTTTTACCTCTTTTTCTTTTCATTTCTCTTTAACTCTTTTTCTCCTCCCTTCTATTTTCCTATTTTTCTCCTCTTCTTTTCCTCTTCTAGTCCTCTTTTTCATTTCCTTTAACTCTTTTTTTTTTCCCTTTCTTTTTAACTCTTTTTTGTTTTCCTTTCTTTTTAACTCTTTTTCTTTTAATTTTTTTTTCTCCTCCTTCTATTTTCCTCTTTTTTTTTTCCTTTCTTTTTTCCACCTCTTTCCCTTTGTTTCTCTTTTCCTGTTCCCCTCTGGCTTTCCCTCTCCTCTCTGTTTTCTTTCCCTCGGGCGCAGGCGGGTGGCCCCAGCCGCAGCAGGAGAGGATGGTGCCAGCAGGGCTGTGCCAGCCGTGGAGCACCAGGAGCACCAGGAGTGGAGGGCCCTGGCCCCATTCCCCCCAGCTGCCTGCTTGGGGCCAGCACAGCTCAGCCTCATTCCAGGGGGCACAAGCAACGGGCTGGGGGTGCAGGGGGGGGAAGGAGAAGTGGGGGACATGTGAGAGGGTCGGGGGGCTGGGGGTAGAGGCACCGCAATCCCCTCTGTCTTGGGGGGACACCAGGGGGCAGGGACTGAGGATGCTGAACCTCCACCTTGCCCCCCCTCACAAGGATCACTTGGGACCCCCCACAAACCCCCTCACCCTCGCTCAGCACCCCCAGACCCTGTGCAGGGTCTGCTCAGAGGGGGCTCCAGGCACAGGAGGTTTGTCTCAGACCCCCCAGGCAAAGCAGCTTTCTGCCGGCGGCTGGAGGAAAGCACAACCCCGGCCCCGCTGTACATAGCCCCCGCCCCCTGCTGTCTGTCGCATCGCAGCCCCCAGCCCTCCCCCTTAGGAATAACAATTTAGTTCTCCCCCTTTCCCCTTCTCCTGCCCAGAACCGCTGAGGCCAAGTGACAAATGTTTGGGTTTGAGGGAGGGGGGGCGTCTCTTATTTTGTACAGAAAACAAAAATTCTTTGGAAAAGAAAAAAAAACTGACCTGTCTTTCGACTGAAGTAACTTTTCTGGTGCTGTTGTTAACTTGGTCCTTATTCTTTTCTTTTTTTTTAATTTATTTTTCCCCCTCGTGTTCCCGCCTCTGCCGCCGCTTCCCCTCTCCCTGTCCCTCTGCCACGTTTCTTTCTCTTTCTTTCATTCCGTCTTTTCTTTTAATTTTTTTTTTTCCTGGTGGTAATTCCCCTCTTTCCCCCCCTTCCCCATTTTCCATAGTCACTGCTACAAGTAACGAATGCACTGTGAAGATTCCAGTATTAATAAAGGTTGTACTGTAATTAATAGCCTTGCCTGTGCTCCTATGGATTTTCTGGTTCTCTGGGGTCACCCCAGTAATGGGGAACAGGTGAGAAGATACCATCACCCCTTTGGGATTCCCATGGCTTGAGGGGGCGGGTGTTCTGGGGTATGGAGGAGTGCAACAACCCCATGGTCAAGGTGATGGGTGACCCTGGGATGCAGAAGAACATCCTGCTGCCCATGCCCTCCAGAAGCGGGGGTGCAGGCGGTGCCCCCCAGCTCCACCCATCCCAGCAGCACCCGCAGCGTTGCCACCTCCCGGATTATCGAGGCCGATTGCCAAATCCCGCTGGGGCAGCACAACCGGCTGTGGAGAGCAGCGGGCATGGAGGGGCTCAGCGTGGGCAGTGTCCTGCTGACCGGCTGCGATGGGGGGCTGGGCCTGGGGCTGCTGAAGGGTTTGCTGGAGCAGCCCAGCCCACCTCGACACATCTTCGCTGCTTGCCTGGACCCCCAGGGCAAGGTAGGGAGGGCACCGGCACGGCGGGGGGACAGGAGGAAGGGGGGGACGGGAGGGAAGTCAGCTCGGGGATGCCACAGTCCCACCTGAAATTGCGATGCTGAGTGTCAGCATCCTGAACGGTGAATGGTATGGAAAAATACATGTGTGTGTGTATATATATATATATATATATATATATATATTTATATAAACCAAAAATACACACATATGTCTTAAATATTTAAAATCCCTATGTATGTATTAAACATGCATGTATTTATTTTGAGTCTCTCGGTGCCGGTATGTGCATGATGGGGAGTGCGTGGGGGTTGCTGGCTTTGAAGCTGCCGCGCTCAGCTGGGCGCGGAGGAGAAGCAGCGACCCCGCCCCAAATCGCTGCCCCTGGATCTTGTTGTAACCTGTCAGTGACATGAGGGGCCACCCTCTTCCCATCCCGGCACGGTGCAGCCCCCTGCCCCCTTCCATGAGCTTCCCCATGTGACCCCTCCCTCGTTTTCTCCACCTAGGCTGTTAACGAGGTGGCTTTGGGCTTTCCCAACGTCAGGATCTTGCCTCTAGGTAAGTGCTGGGGCGGGAAAGGGATGAAGCTTCTTAGGATTTAATTGCAACCGTGGGTGGCTCCAGGAAATGCCACCAAGCAGGTGGGTCCCTCGGTTTAGCTTAGCTGAACCAGGTCACTGATGGGACCAGGAGGATGCTCAGTGGCTGGGAGTTGCCTCCTGCCATGTCCTACAGCATCTTGCCAGGATTGTGGCCACCAGCCTGTCCCCCAAACCCTCCTGTCCCCTTGCAGATGTGACAGACCCCAACAGCATCAAGGCAGCAGTGAGGAAGGTGCAGGCAGAGGTGGGAAGTGCTGGCCTCAACCTCCTGATCAACAACAGCGGCACCACGCGCCGCAGCACCCTGGCCACCGAGACAGCCGAGAACATGAGCCTCGTCTACACCACCAACACCATCGGGCCCCTGCAGACCAGCCAGGTGAGGAGGACACAGCAACCCCTGCCCCAAACACTGGGAACAGGGAGGAGGAGGAGGATGGGGATGCCTGAGGTCCCATCCCCTGCAGGCCTTCCTGCCCCTGCTGAAGGAGGCGGCTGAGGCCGAAGGGCAGCGGGAGATGAGCTGCAGCAGAGCTGCCATCATCAACATCTCCAGCATCCTGGGCTCCATCGAGGTTGCAGAGGCCTGGCAGGAGAGGCAGGACATCTGCTACCGCTGCAGCAAGGTACTGCCCCTGGGGCATGGGGAGGAATTTGGGGTCATCTCCTTGGGGATTCCCCTTGCACTGGCCCTGGCATTGCCAGATCATGATGCTGAGGAGGGGAATTTGTCCTCCCAGGCTGCTCTGAACATGCTCACCAAGTGCCTGGCCCTGGAGTACGGGAGCAGCGGGATCCTCTGCGTGTCTGTGGATCCTGGCCATGTGACACCTCCCTTGGAACAGGGGATGGTGAGTGATGGAAGGTGCATGGAGTCCCAGCTCAGCAAGGTCCCATGGGTATCCTGGGGATTCCTGGGGGCATCCTTTCCCAGGAGCATCCCTTCCCAAGGCCGTCCCTTCCCATGAACATCCCTTCTCAGGGTCATCCTTTCACAAAGAAATCCCTTCCCAGAAACATTCCTTCCCACAGACATCCCTTCCCATGGGCACATCCCTTCTTCATAGGGTATTTCTTCCCATGGACATCCCTTTCCCATGAACATCCCTTCCTGAGGCATCCTTGACCATGGACATCCCTTCTCTGGGCACCCACATTTGTGCAGTGCCTTGGTCCCACAGTGGCTGTGCCACCACCGCAAAGGGACAATTCCAGGGGCTCCCCCAACCATCCAATTTCTTCCCTATTTTTTATTTCCTTTCCCATTCTGATGGTGTGTCAGCAGAGGGCACCCTGGTCCTGCTGTCCCTTACCCTGCTCTGGCTGACAAACGAGTCACTTTTTAATTAAGGATGAAGAAATGAACCTCCATCCTTACAGCACTCAAATGAGGGACAATAAATTTGTGCAAAGCCACATCCCTTGGCTGCTGGAGCATCTCCAATTGTTCCCAAACCAACCCAGCCAGAGCTGGCATTCCACCATACCAGGGGTGGGATTGGGGGTGTTGGGATGGAGAACCTTGGCTCACTTTTTCCCTTGGGTGTGACAGGGCCCAGTGACGCTGGAGGAGAGCGTGCAGGGCGTCCTGCAGCTGCTGGCCCAGCTCTCAGCCACCAACAACGGCACCTTCTGGGACTGGAGAGGGCAGAGGCTGCCCTGGTGAGAGCAGCATCTGCAGACTGAGCTTAAATAATTAATTAAAGTGAATTAATTGCCATTTCCAGGCTCACTCTGAGTCGGGGGGGGCAGGGGAATAGAAACAGGGACGCACAGGTTGGGGGATGGGAGTTGGATTTGCTGCCCCTCTGGCCTGGGATGGTGATTTGTGCCAGGGCAGCATAAGGAAGGATGCTCCAAGGGTGGTCCTGAATCCAAGGCATCCCCTGGGGCCAGGAGAAGCCCCTGGCTATCCTCACTCTAGGGCCACAAGCCATACTGCTTATGGGGACATCTCAGACAGCCCCCAAACTCAGCCCATGTCCTGCTGAGCCTGCCCACCCCAAAACCAGCTGGCCTTTCCATGCCCACCCCAAAGATGCTGCCAGGTGTTTTTCTTGCTGGTTCAAGGCCAGCAAAGGTTCTTCCTGTTCCAGCAGCTGGAGGGTTTCACAGCAGATCTCCCAAGTCTCAGCACATGCCTAAAGATGTCTTTTGAGACCTGGGCAGGGCGTCCTGGGCTGACCTTCCCTGAATCCATCCCTCATGGTACACCAGGAGATGCTGCAAACAGGCTCCCATTCTTGATGCTGTGAGTGCTTTCCTGTAGAGGCTCTCAGCTGTCATTCTTGAAGCCATCTCCCAAAAGAGGGATCAGAAGAAAATGCACAATATCTCAAGTGGGCTGGACTCAGAGCCCATTGCTGTGGGGATGCTCTGGGAAGCTTGGCAGGGGTCATTCTGCAGGGACAGCTTCAGGTTCCCCACAGTGGAGGAGGATGAAGGATCATTCCCACGTTTGACACGAGGGAGTGGGAGCTTGGGGCTCAGCCCCAGGTGGGTCCCTGGACCACACAGGGACTCAAAGCCAGCAGGGATGGGAGTCAGGTCCCTCTAGTTAAAGCTCTTATCAAGCAGTGGATCTACTGTGAGTTTTATATGAGCTCTGTGTGGGCTTTATATAAACAGGAATCATCACTAGGCATGAAGGGAGGAGGAAAAGGAGGAGGAGGAGGAGGAGGAGGAGGAGAAGGAAGATGTTCACTCATGCTGCAGTGCCCATTGACTCATGAGCCTAAGCCATGCATACACCAATTAAGGTCTCTAATAGCTGATGAAGGTAATTAACTAAGCTGTGAAGGGGGGAGGCAGCCAGGCAGCCCCAGTGCCTCCAGTGTGCCACCAAGCACAACAAACAAATCCAGATGTTTCCTTGCTGGGGAAGCAGCCGGGGCTGACAGAGGCAGCTTGGCAGGGGTCCCTTTGTCAGAGTGAGGGAGGTGGCTGACACCCCAAAAGAGGAGGCAGTGGAGGCAGTGGGGTTCTCTTTGCTGGTCCTTTATTTCGGGTAAGGCTGGAGGCTCCCAGGACCCAGTCAGAAGCTGAGCTGCAATGCTACAGAATTAACTGATGTTTAATCAAAGCTGAGGAA